AAAGGTCCTGAGTTCAATTCCCAGCAACCACATGGTGGCTCACAACCATCTGTAAAGAGGTCTGGCACCCTCTTCTGGCCTTCAGGCATACAGACAGAATATTGTATACATAATAAATAAATATTTTTTAAAAAAAGAAAAAAAGAAATACTATTCCACAGTAGAAGTCAGCAATCCTATCTTTGGCCCCAGAACTTTGTGGTAAATTTTAATAGGTTATACTGAATGTAACCAAATAGATCGGTGTACTGACTAAGAAAAGACATTTCTGGAAAGGATTTGAAGGTACTTCCCCATAATGGTGCCCAGAAACTATTCAAGAGGCAGCCATATTGAACAAAAGACCAGAGAGGGAGAGCAGCCACTTGTAAATTAATGGCCTTCACACCAGAGAGAGTCTGTCTTAGAGAATCAAATCAGGCTCCACACATTCTTTCAATTACAGAAATACAGGGAGAGCAGCCAGCAGGATCATAGCCTGGGCCCTCAGGTCAGGCGTAGAAAGAGGACACATAATCACCAAATTAGGATCTCTTAAAAGAGCTGCCTTATCTGTCACCAATGCTGAGACAGGAAGCCCTCTGTTAAAGGGGACAAGCCTCTGGTCACTGCTATCAAACACAGCCCACCAAAAAAGGCAGTTACAAAGAAGCTGTGTTTGACTATGCTTTTTGGGTGTTTAGAATCTTTTCCCAAGTTATTTCAGATTTTATGTGAAAATTTTGCCTACGCATTGAAGGGTCATTTTTTAAATCTATTTTTATTGAGCCCTGCATTTTTCTCTGCTCCCCTCCCCTTCGACTCTCTCCCAAGACCCCCATGCTCCCAATTTACTCAGAATTTGTCTTTTTCTACTTCTCATGTATATTTCTCTTAGGGTCCTCATTGTTGTTGAGGCTCTCTGGAATTATGATTTGTAGACTGTGTTTCTTTGTTTTATGCATAAAAACCACTTATGAGTGAGTGCGTGTGATAATTTTATTTCTGGATCTGGGTTACCTCACTCAAAATGATGTTTTCTAGTTTGATGCATTTGCTCACAAAATTCAAGACATTGTTATTTTCTGCTGTGTAGTACTCCATTGTATAAATGTACCACATTTTCCTTGTCCATTTTTTGGTTGGGGGATATTTAGTTTGTTTCCAGTATGTGAATGGAGAAGGTACCTTAGAGTAGGTACCCCACCAGTGGAGGAGTTTGAACTGGGAGGTGATGGTTAAGGAGAAAGGGCTTGCCATGAAGCAACTCAAAAAAGCTCAGGTCCGTAGGGGAATGTGGGGTGGCCCTGAGGCGAGAGCCAAGATAACCTGAGTTCAGTGAAGAGCTTGGTTAGTTGTTGTTTGATGAGTCCCATTGTCCAGGAGATGTTGAGAGCTTCTGACACTAGCTCCATGACCCTGAGCCACCGCATCTGCTGTTTCCCTGGAGACTGAAAACACTCCTATCCATCCTGTAAAAGCGTAAAATTGGTAAGGGAAACTTAAGGCCCAAGTGAGAATAAAAGTAATGGACTCACCCGCGACTTGTATCATGACCCTAGGCTAGGCGAAGGTTACGGGATAAACCAAATCTGGGCAGCCTCTGCAAGGCTGAGACATTTGAAGGCTGGCACAGCTTCACTTGCCGATAGTGAGTGATGAGGCCGGACCTCCATGGCTTGGCATAAAGGACAAGTCTGTATTGTGGCATTGTGATTTCCAGTGTCCAGGTTGCTAGCAGATAGGGCAGAACCTCGGAGCAGGTGTAGTGCAATATCGTGCCACGAGACCATTTAGGCCACACTTGATACAGCCCTATGATTGGCTTCCCTTGTCCCCCTTCCTGTGATCTTAGGGCAGCTGCTAAGGCCTGGGCCTGTAGATTGTTGTAGCTTTGTCTGTCGGGAAGACTCAGCTGATTCCTCTCAGGCATTAAAAACTTTAAAGGCCATTTTCACCAATTCCCATATAGGAGTTTGGGGACCATCCTCAACTTTTTTTTCCCTAATATCTGGTTCTGACTGAGGAAGCAGAATTATTAGTAGAAAAGGAAAGCAGCTACTTTTCTACCTGATAGATTTGGAAGAGAAAAGGGAACAGGGGAGAGACTAGCCCAGTGTGCATAAGGGATCCAGGAGTGCAGAGAGGTGGGAGGGGGAGGGGAAGGTTGAAATTGACCTTGAACCTCTGACTTGGGAAAGGGAGGGGGAAAGAATGTTGCTCCACAGGAGGGGTTGGGAAGTGTGGGTTTCAGGGAGTTGGAGAGGGGCCAGTGCCTCTGGCACTGTGGTGCTGAGAGACACTGGCTACTAAGTGGGGGAGGGGGGGCAAGAGTGCAGAAGCCAAAAATCATGGACATATATATGTAAGCTCTGTTTATTTGTATCAGACAAGCTCAATTTAAAAAGATCTTTGAAAGAGGCTCATAGGGGCAACAACAGACCTGGCTTTGAACTGTAAGTGTCCATTTTAGAGTCTATGCCCAACCACGTGGCCTACGTCCATTTTAGCATGTCCTCAACTGTATATTGGATGCCTGGTGTCCCAGGACAGACAGATCTCCAACTCAGCCAAGCCTGATCCCACGGGATTGACTGCCACCTGACTCGAATTCCCGGTGTGAGTTCATGACTTCAGCGGGAATCCGAAAACGACAAAAATAAGTATGAATGGGTCCCCCAGAACTCTATAGCATAGATAAGAAAAGGGACTCATCAAGACACAGCCACTGTGGCCCAGAAGCCAGTTGTCAGCATGGTGTAGAGAGCTCAAACTATAGAGTAGGGGCCTTCCAACACATGGCCTGTGAAGTGGAAAGGGCCTGGCCTAGCTTGGCGGGACCCTCCAAAATGTTAGGAATATTCATTTTTTAAAAAATGTATTTAGCCGGGCGGTGGTGGCGCACGCCTTTAATCCCAGCACTCGGGAGGCAGAGGCAGGCGGATCTCTGTGAGTTCGAGACCAGCCTGGTCTGCAGAGCTAGTTCCAGGACAGGCTCCAAAACCACAGAGAAACCTTGTCTCGAAAAAACCAAAAAAAAAAAAAAAAAAAAGTGGGCTTAGTAGAATGTTTCACAAGCTGTGTTTCAGGTTGTCTAAAAATAGCTACTTAAAAATGACAATTAAAGAATTCCGTAGATTGCTTCTCAGCCTTTTCCCAAAAATCAAGTGAAGAATCCAGTAGTTGTTCAGCCCATGAGGCTTGATGTCTCAAATGATTTTAAGTATTCACCGAAATTTCAAAGAAGTAGTCTCTAGTACTACTAAAGGAATGAGCTTGGTAGCCAGTGCAAGTTGATAAAAAAGAGACTTTTCTACTTCAATATACTTTATATGCAATTGCTGCTACCAGAATGTGAGAAGGTTAAAATTAGATCATAATCTTGTTTGATTCAGATTTTCTTTTTTTTTTTTTTTTGGTTTTTCGAGACAGGGTTTCTCTGTGGTTTTGGAGCCTTTCCTGGAACTAGCTCTTGTAGACCAGGCTGGTCTAGAACTCGCAGAGATCCGCCTGCCTCTGCCTCCCAAGTGCTGGGATTAAAGGCGTGTGCCACCACCGCCCAGCTGATTCAGATTTTCTTGCTTTTGTGATTTCAAGACAGGATTTTTCTTTTTTTTTTTTTTTTTTTTTTTTTTTTTTTTTTTATTTTTTATTTTTTATTAAGTGGCTGGAGAGACAGCCGTGGGTGCTGGGAACCGAACTCTTTATATTTATGGTTGTGAGCCTAGCCTTTAACGGCTGAGCCATCTCTCCAGCCCGCAAGACAGGATTTTTCTGTGTAGGTGTGGAACTCATTCGGTAGGCCAGACTGGTCTCAAACTCAGAAAATCCCAGTGCCTCTTGTTGTGCCCAGATTATGACCACCAGAGAGAGACCACCAGATAGGTCCAGTCTGTAATAAGCAAGGTTTAATCAGCATAATGCAAACATGTTTGGAACTCATCTCCACCCCCATTACAGCAAGGTAGAGAGGAGTTGTATCTCCTCTGTGGGGTAAGCTTTTAAAGCCTTAACTACAAAGAGAATCTTTGATGTTGCCTTAGCATGGGTACAAGGACTTTTGCTTCCTCCCATTCTGTAAAGTCAGCTTTCTCCTTGTTCTTAGAGCAAGGCCACTGTCCTTGAGATAGGCCATCTTTAACAGCCTGTACCAGGTGGCTGGCTCGGCTGACCTAGGTGACCTTCTGCTTGGAATCTTGCAGGTGGGAGAGGGGAATTCCACTATCTTCCTGAGAAAACATTCTGCTAGGAAATTTCTTCTCTTCCCTTTGATAAGAAGGGGTGAGGGTCCCACACCTCTTGCTCCTGTGTCAAGGTGTTAAAGGTGTGCATGCCCACCAAGCAGCTAAAGGTGGGTCCTATTATTTCAAGCTATCCAGATTAGTGGAGGATTTTCCCATTCCAAAATCTTTAAGTAAAATCTCCCTCAGGTATAATTAATTCTTTGTGTATTGATTAATTCCAGAGGTAGTCAGTTTGACCACCAAAAATAGCCATTTCTACAGCCAAGACAAAAGAAATGAAAACAAAATTATTCTTGCTGGAGGCACAAAGTGCAAGGGAGTTATTTTCAAAACAGTGTTTTTCCTCAACAAAGGAAGAATGGGGATTTTCCTTAGGATGTCTGAACACACTCATGATATGTTCTCCCTTTTCTTAAGCATGCTAAATTAACAAATCCACTAGTGAACATGATTCCAATGTAAAAACAGATATTTAGGAAATCTTACCACGAAGTCTTGTAGGAACATACGTAAATTAGACAAATGATGGAAAGAACTGTCTCTGGCATGTTTATATTTTACCATAAGGTCTTAGTTGAAAATCAAGTAGATGACATTGTGAAAAGTAGATTGTCAATCTTGATGATCAATCTAAAAGATAACTGTACCAACACCGTATATCTCACAGACACAAAAGATAGAGAACACAAAACCAGAAAACTTCAAGGAAAAGTCACCTAAAAGCCCTCTATACAGTGCTCCTGGATGAATGGTTATGATGATCTCTGTTACTTTCAGAGCAAAGCTGGTTTTGCTCTGAGCAGGGTGGCAAGACAGAAGGCCACAGCTGCTTCCATGCAAGGTAAGAAGGAGTCCATTTTAACTAGACCTGGCTTGCTGTCTGTCTCGGGGTCAGGACATCACTGTAGAGAATTTCATTTTTTTCTTTTCTCTAACCTTAAAAAAATCTTTAGTTATACAGTGTTTTGCTTGCATGTGCCTCTGCACAGTACCTACAGAGGGCAGAAGAAGGGATGAGATACCTGGGACTTGAATCAGAACAAATGGTGTGCTAGCATGCAGGGTCCAGGAATGGAATCAGGGTCCTCTGTGAAAACACCCAGTGATGAGCCATCTATCTAGCCCCTCTTTTTAATTTAAAATTAATCTTTACAATTTGTTAATCAAAAGAAAATACATCATTTTTTTATTTCCTTATTCCATCCCTGCCACAATTCCCTTCCAACTTCATCCTTGTTAAGTGTGGGTAAATATGTATGCTGAAATACATAAATATGTTATACCCAAATCTGCAAAGTCTCCAAAAAGCCAACAAGGAGATCACGTCCTATACATAAAAGCAAAGAGCCTTTATTTTATGCAAGTTTGCAAACTCGGTCTCTCTGCATGTCCTGTGTATTGGAATAACTGGAGAGCTCTGAACTGAGTTAGAGTTTGGTTTTTATAGTAGTCAAGGTGGGGGTGAGGAGTTTCTAAGGTTCAGGACCCCTGATTGGTTGACATTTGCCTAGGGGTGTCCTGGTGAGTGTGTGCTGGCAGGTGATCCTATCTAAAATGGTTGGAATGTTAAGCATTTCCTTTGGATGGTCTATTTTTGGGTGGTGCTTGGGTAATCTCAGTTTATATTGATATAGATTTTTGTAAATTGATACAAATTTACAGTTGTTTTGTTAGAAAATTATATATATATACATATATTTGTTTTTAATCTCAATCAAAGTATTGTACCTATATACCTTATATAACAATTCAATGCAAATGTGTAGGCCTTTAAAGTTATTATATCAACTAATTAGAATATCATGAAATATAAATTAGTAGTCATCAATTATAATCCATCTTGTAGTTATATTAGGTATATTTTCAAGGTCAAGCTGAGATATATTTTAGATAGTCTATGACAATTGGGCATGACTTACCATGGGTATGTTTTTCTCTGTAAATATGACCAAAAAAAGGGAGTAGAAGTTTATGTTCTCTCTTTGTTAGTCAGAACTGGTGCAATCCTGGCTGTTGGTCATCATAGCTCTTGGGAGAATTACAGGACAGGAGCGTCTAGAACAGTGGCATCTACCTAGTTCTCTATTTCTGAGTTTATTTTTCCTTTGAACCCTGAATAGTTAAATACACTTTTGTGGTTTCTCACTTCAATAGGTAGCATGGTGGTGTGCACGCAGACTTGGTACTAAAGAAAGAGCTGAGAGCGCTACATCCAAATCACCAGGCAGCAGGTAGTGAAAAATACTTATATGTCCCTTGACCCAAGAATGAACAAGGAAAGGGGGCTACATTTACATAACTGAGTACTTCACAGTAAAATAATGACATCTTGAAATTTGCAGGCAAATGGATGGATCTAGAACACACTATATTGATTGAGGTAACCCAGACCCAGAAAGAAATATTGTATGTATTCACTCATAAGTAACATTTAGACATAAAGCGAAGAAACACCAGCCTAAAATTCACAATTCCAGAGAACCTAGACAACATGAGGACCCTAAAGAGGCATACATGAATCTAATATACAGGGGAAGTAGAAAAAGACAAAGTCATGACATCTGTTAGTTCTCAAACACAGTGGTGTTTGTTATACAGCTTGTTCCCACGCAATAGAAAAGAACTTTTTCTTTTTTTAATATTTATTTATTTATTATGTATACAATGTTCTGTCTGTGTGTATGCCGGCAGGCCAGAAGAGGGCACCAGACCTCATTCCAGATGGTTGTGAGCCACCATGTGGTTGCTGGGAATTGAAATCACGACCTTTGGAAGAGCAGGCAATGCTCTTAACCTCTGAGCCATCTCTCCAGCTCCTGGAAAAGAACTTTTTCAATCCTGCTATTGACATGATATTTTTATGAATTCTGATGTCATCATCACATTTCCAAACAATAATTATTTAGTTTCTACATTTCCTTATGCTAGAGGACCTGACAGACCCATATGGGATCTAATGTGTGCTATATATATATAAGACAAAGCCTATTCCTGATTATATCTTGAACCTGAAAAAACAATGGAGTCAATTCTACATCATCTGGTATTAATTATGTGGTTTCAATATCCAAAGTTACTTTTTCTGCATATTGCAAATCAATAACTTTGTTGAGAAGTCCTTTAAAATCCCTTAGTACAGAAAATAGAACGCTAAGACAAATAACTATTAAAGGGACTAAAGATAATCTAAGATAAACTATAATTATGCTCTAAACCTACATCATCCAAACCTCTCCAGAATCACAAAAGTTCTAATCAATTGATTATTCTTGCAGAAGGCCCAGTGTAGGTGTGGCATTCTTCTGGGAACAACTGTTCACAGTTGTTTAGTCCTGTGCCATTAGGCAGAAATTCACAATGACTGGAAAGGTTACCGAGAAGTTTCTTTATGTCATGGGGACTAGAAAGCAGAGAGAAGGAATACACGAAAGGCCAGCAAAATGTATAACTTGCACGGCACATCTCCAGTGACCTACTTCCTCCAACTATACTCTAAAGATCACACTAACCCCAAATGGTACCACCATCTGGGAAAAACAAGTCAATAAGCATGTGAACTATGGGCTCAATTCAATTTCAAACTCTAACCATGGCAATGAACTCCTAAGCACTAAAGCTAGACTTCACAATTGCTAGCCATTCTGTGTCATCTGTATATCTAACATCTATCCATCTGTTCACACTCTTTTCATAACCTGCTTTCAAGGAGATGGCAGTGGGGCATGGGGGATGTTAAAGTCCTTAGTGCAAGAATTAGATACCTGATTTTGGGTTCCCAGCACCCCCATAAAATGTCAGGTTCTGGATGCCTATGCCTGTAATTCCAGGTCAGGGGAAGAAGCAGACAAGAAGATTCCTGGAATTTATTGATTAATTAGAGTAGGAGAATTTGAGCGCTCCACTTTGAGATACTGTCTCAAAAAAATTAGAAAGACAGATTGATAGGTACATAGATAGGTAGGGAGATAAAGCACTTGGAGTCCAATCTCACGGCTACATGGAACTATCTGACAAACTAAACCAAAACTAAACAATGCTGACAGAATATCTGTAGTTGAGAGGCCTGAGAAGACAGGTGAGATTTTCTTGTAAGAAGAAGGAACTCAGTTTGAGCCCAAGAATCCATGCTGAAGAGAAAACGAAAAAAGTCACAAGGACTTTTAACACTAGTAATGGGAAAGGGACATGGAGACAAATGAGTACCTGGGGCTTGTTGGTCAGCTAGCCTAGTCTACTTGGAAAGTTACAAAGCAATCAGAGACCCTATCTGAAAAGAAATAGAAAATAAAAGTTGATCAAATCAAAGGCCTGAAACCAGAGATTCACTTCTGTCTTCCAAATATATACACACACATATATACAATCACATACTTATATTTCCACAAGTATATACACACAGAATGCCCAAACACACACAGAGATGTACAATAGCACATAGAAATTCATACAATAGTACATACAATTCATTGCTAGCTTTGATTGTGTCTTTCTATGGTTATTTATGCTGGTTTGTATTTGTAACGCACACATTCTCAGCTATTGAGTAGGTCGGATGTAAAAAAGATATCAGCTTCGTGACAGGTTTTGAATATTTTGCAAAGCAAATCTCATGTACAAGGAACATCTGTGGTGGGGTGATTATTCTGTTGTATACTCTGAAGAATTGTCACTCAATTTGCTTAAATAAAACAATGACTGTCCAGCAGATAGGCCTGAGACAGAGGGAGCATGTCTAGATTGTGTCATGCTAATAAATGTTTTACTATGTGGAGAATATGTGTTAACTTAAAAATGTGACAGGTAGTTAGCAATAAGCCTGATATATTGGTCAAGAATTTTCAATTATTAAAAGCCTTGATGTAGTTACTTTGAACTGGTATGTAGGAAAGAAAAGACTGTGAAGGCGTAAGTCACAAACAATGCCACACCAATTCGGGGTTATGATTATTAGGGTGGTATTTATTTAAAGGGGAAAAAACTTACAGATCACTGTCCCAGGCAACAGCCCTCTACGCAACCAGGAAAGGAGTCTAGTCACAGGCGGAGCAGGAAGTGAAGAGAGAGAGGAGAGGGAAGTGGCCGCTTTTTTAAAGGGAGAGAAACCACGCCCCAGTGGGCTGGTACCTCAGCGGTGATAGGCTGGAGGAGTGGGAGGACCTCCCGCAACAAGACTGTTTAAAAATGGCATTCGGGAAGAGCAGAGGCGTTCTGTAGGGCTGGGTTGAAAGCCTCTGTCCAATAGCATCCGCCTGACCCCCAGTTGGGGGGCACCTAGCCAGGGGCTGTCCTCCCTTACTCTAGCCTTGCATGTACTTGGTATTAACCTAGACGTGGAGAGCGGGTCTCGCTCGGGGGTCAGAGAAGGAGGAGAGTGACCAGTCCTGGGCCCTTCCTGCATACCTGGTGGCGACCTGAACTCCAGCCCTGGGGAGTGGGCAGGACCTCTAGCCACGCCTCGCTCCCTGCTTTTCCTCTCCTTCAGCATTGTCTACTAGCTACTTTTCCTGCTCTCTGTCCCAGGAGACGAACGTTTGAGCCTGAGATGGCAGCCACCCTGCTCATGGCTGGGTCCCAGATCAGACTTAATGCCAATGCCTTCTCGACATTTCTAACCATGTCTCTAATTTCAAGAAGAAAGGCTGGGACTAAACTCCTAGATGCTAAGTAGTGAGGAAGCATTGTGTGATTTCAGGCCCCTGTGACATTTGAAGATATGGCCATGTACTTCACTCAGGAAGAATGGAGACCTCTGGATCCTACACAAAGAGACCTTTACAGGGACGTGATGCAGGAGAATTAAGGAAATGTTGTCTCACTGGACTGTCAGATCAGGAACGAGAACGAAACAACCCGAAAGAAGAGCTTAGTGAAGATGTGGAGTTTGTGACCATGTCCGAAGAGCCTATTGGGGATGCTGAGAAGAACCCGGAAAGCGAAGAAGTCTTTGAAAGTGGGGACAGGTCCGAAAGACAGTGGGGAGAGCTGACCGCAGAGGAGTGGGTCAGCTACCCTCTCCAGCAGGTCACTGACCTGCTGGCCCACAAAGAAGTTCACACAGGCATCCGCTATCACATATGTTCTCTGATGGAGGAAGGTCATTGGTTAAATAAAAAGAAACTGCTTGGCTCTCATTGGTTAGAAGATAGGTGAGAGGAGTAAACATAACAGAACGCAGGGAGTAAGAGGAAGTGAGCTCAGACTCCACAGCTCTCCTCTCAAGAGCAGACGCCTCAGAGAGACGCCATGCTCCCAGCTCCCGGGAAGATGGATGTGATGAAGCTCAGACCCAGGATGGACGAAGGCTAGAATCTTCCCGGTAAGCGCACCTAGCTGTGCTACATAGAATATTAGAAATGGGCTAGTCCAGGTGCGAGAGTTAGCCTAGAAGAGGCTAGCTAGAAATGGGCCAAGCAGTGATTAAAAGAATACAGTGTCCGTGTAATTATTTCGGGGCATAAGCTAACCAATCAGGCTGCCGGGGTGCTGGGAACGCAGCCCCGCTGCTCTTTTTACTACAGTTTTCAGTGTGGGGAGGCCTTCAGTCAGATTTCAGACCTCAATCGACACCAAAAGCGCACACGGGACACAGACCCTACAAGTGTTACAAATGCGGCAAGGGCTTCAGCCGCAGCTCCCACCTTATCCAGCATCAGAGAACACACACGGGCGAGCGACCCTATGACGGCAACGAGTGGGGGAAGAGCTTTGGAAGGAGCTCTCACCTCATTCAGCACCAGACAATCCACACCGGGGAAAAGCCGTACCACTGCAACGAGTGCGGGGAGAACTTCAGCCGCATCTCGCACTTGGTCCAGCACCAGCAGAGGCACAGGGGAGAGAAGCCCTACGAGTGCATGGCCTGTGGGAAAAGCTTCAGCCACAGCTCCCATCTGATCACACACCAGAAAATTCACACCGGGGAGAAGCCCTATGAGTGTAACGAGTGCTGGCGAAGCTTCGGGGAGAGGTCAGATCTCATTAAGCACCAGAGGACTCACACGGGAGAAAAGCCCTACGAGTGTGTGCAGTGTGGAAAGGGGTTTACACAAAGCTCCAACCTCATCACCCATCAAAGAATTCACAGGGGAGTGAAGCCTTACGAATGTACCAAGTGTGACAAGAGTTTCAGCCGGAGCTCAGCTCTTATTAAACACAACAGAGTCCATACCGACTAAGTCCTATATTCCTGAGTAAGAAATGACTCGTGGAGGTAGTTATATTTGATTTGATATCAGTGAGCTTCCTTTAGATTGACTTTCCTTATTGTTGGCCACGTTTTCAAACATGGTAGAATACGACCCCTTTGAAATTCCGACCCACAGCGTTGGGGAAGTTTTCCCCTTCTCCAAAATAGTTAGTTTTCTTCACTGGTTTTATTACAAGAATCGCTTCATCAGAAGCAGCCCCCGTTCCTAGTAACTTGAAAGCTGAAGACCATAGGACAAGATGCTGGTGGATGCTTAGTCCTGGAAATGGAGTAGGTTTTTAAAAAGTTGTTTTTTCCTCTCGTATCTTTGGCCCCAAAAGACTGTAGTGGGAATGTAGAACTGGACTAGGGTGGCCGCAGCTGCTCTGGAAGAAGGCATGCGGACTTGTCCTGGGTAGCCACTGTTCACACACCGCAGTGGCCGGGCTCATGCACTTCCCTTCCAAAGGGCTTTTTCCTTGAGTAGCTCATATTGGTACCTTGCCTTCTTGTGCACAGGATTCTGCACGCTGAAAGCAGTGACTGAATCACTTCCCTTGTTTCTCACTTGTATATAGCTTGCACGCTTTTGAAAGCTACCCGAAGACACAGTGTGAAAGGAGAAGGGTACAAGGTTGAGGACCAAGGGCCCTTGGATGGTGGTGACCTTAGCAAGAGATACCCATTGATGCTGTCATTAATCAGGTTTATGAATTGTCTTCAGAAATCACTTTAGAGATCGCAGTGTGGAAACTGCCTTTAGGAAAGGACAGGACCGCAGGTGATGATGGAAGGAGTAGAAGTGGGTTGACTCCTTCAGGGAAGGGAGCACCGAGCCCTTCCCAGGGAGCGACAGTCATTTCTGTGTCCTTTGCCATCTAACTTTAACAGTTAGGTCACTCGCCCTTGTACTGCTAACTCTAGGGTTTGATAGGGCCACGCCCCAGTCTTTATCATAGCTCGCTTAAAGGAATGTGTATGTATAGTGAAGTGTGTATTCTAATAGCAGAGACCGAATTCCTAAGAATCAGCATGTTCTTACGTGATGTAGACCATAAGATAGAACTGTAGGCATACTCCATGTGAGAGAATTCCTTTACTTTTCTTGTGTTATGGGAAAGAATTTGAACACTGGTGCGCAGGCGTGCACTCTCCTGTAAGGCTTGGTTTTGTACAGAACTAAACTCTTGCTCGTATGTGTCCATCAGTTGTGAGACAATGACTGGACAGTTAGGTCCTTTGCCCTTTCTCAGACTGAGTTATCTTCTCCTGTGATGAAACCTCTTTGGCCTCATCAGAAGAAATGAATAAGCCTAAAGAGGAGTGTGTTTCCCGCCTCCAGGTACAAAGAGTTACAGTGAGAGTTGCCCAGTGTCGCCCAGTACCTCAGTTCTCTTTATCTCAGCCCAGGCAGGAATTATGAGGAGCCCGGATATTGGTGCTTACTCCGTCCCGTGGGGATGGAAGGGGATGGGGCCCAGTGCATTTTATGGTGCTTAGTGCAGACTTGCAAATGTTAACATGTTTTTTTTTTCAAGAAACCTTTTTTTCTTTTTGCAGGGGTGGGGATTGGGGGTGGCACATGCCTTTAATCCCAGCACTTGGAAGGCAGAGGCTGGCAGATCTCTGTGAGTTCAAGGCCAGCCTGGTTTACAGGATAGAGTTCCAGGACAGCCAGGGCTACACAGAGAGTCCTTGTCTTGGAAAAAACAAAAAAATTTTTTGTTGAAGTTCTTTGGGATTTGGCATTTAGTGCTTTCACTACAGAGTCATTGTGAGTGAAGCTGGGTGACACCTACCGTGTCATTCACTAGTGACAGCCTCAAAAGCAACCAAATGAAAAGCACTCCGATTGGCCCCTCCCATTTGAGCATGAACTTGGGGCAGGCACGTGGTTTCTATTCTGTACGACATCTAGCCTGCTGTGGGTATTCACATTTTAACCGTTAGGTGACTTATGTATTCTTGGTAACTAAACTCAGATATGGCATCTGTATGTAGCCAATGACTTGGTTGAGTCATTGTAAGTGTCTGCTTGGGAGTAGCTTTTAGAAGACAGCACCTCTGATCCAACTTCATTTTACCCCTTTCTCTACCCGGTCCCCATCCCCCCAGCCCTGCAACACCACCTCCAGCCTAAAGGTTTTGCTAGTGTGCCATTTGCTGCTTTTGCCTTGTAGATGAAAGGCTCAGGGAGGGTCTCTGATTGCCTTCCCATCTCCCCATACCTGTCTGCACCAGCTGAGTGCCCTCCCTCCTGCAGTCATCCGCGGCCCACTCCCAGTGCTGAGCTCTGTGGAAGTCATGCCTCTGTCACACTTCACCAATGCTGTTTGCATGCCTGCTGTTTGCAGGCCCCTGGCTGTTCCTGCACATACCCAGACACTCTGTGCCTGTGTTCTGTGGTTGTGGAGAGCGGATCCCTTTGGTATTGGTAAGTTATCCTAGTGTCTTGTCTATGGCTGTATTATCCTAACAATATTCTATAATTAAAGGTATAATTTTTAAAGTAAAAAAAATAAAAATGGCATTCCAATGTGTGGCCAAAATTTTCAGATAAAATCTGAAATACCTTGGAAAAGGAATCTAAACACAAAACTACATAGACAAATGCAGCTTCTCGGTAACTGCCTTTATTTGGTGGGCTATGCTGGAGATCTGTGATCAGAGGCTCGCCTCCTATTACAGATGGCTTTCTAAATCAGCATTTGCAGAAAACAGGGAGTTCTTTAAAGAGACATCAACTTGGGAGGCCGAGGCAGGCAGATCTCTGTGAGTTCGAGACCAGCCTGGTCTACAGAGCTAGTTCCAGGACAGGCTCCAAAGACACAGAGAAACCCTGTCTCGAAAATCCCAAATAAATAAATAAATAAATAAATAAATAAATAAATAAATAAATAAAGAGACATCAAGTTTACTCATACGGTATCTTCTTTCTCTTGCTGACCTGAGAGCCTAGGTTATGAACCTGCTGGTTATACACCTGTATTTCTGCAAAAAAAAAAAAAAATCAAACAATGTGTGGAGCCCTGACTTGATTCTCCAGGACAGACACGCTCAGGTGTTAAGGTCATGTGTTTGTGGCTGAAGACCACCTTTGGTCTTTAACTCGACATGACTGCATCTTGAATAATTTCTAGACAGCATTATTGGGAATTATCTTCAACACCTTCACAGAAATGTCCTTTCTTAGTCAGTACACTGATCTCCTTTGCTATTGTGCACTATATCATACAGAAATTTACCATAATGTTCTGAGTTCAGAGATATGATTGCTGACTTCTACTGCAGAATGGTATTTTCCCCATTTTTAGTTCTTTCTTGATAGTTCAGAATTTTGAGTTATTTAAATGCATGATGATTGATTATGGTCTATAAACAAAAATCAGGATAAGAGAAAATTTTGAACTTTGAATATAAAATTGATGTGTTTACTGTCATTAGTAGGTGCCACCAATAAATAACAACATGATTGCTTTTTC